TAAGATATTGTGTAACAATGGCAAAGTCAAAAAGTATCATGTGGCATTGCCACAATTCACCCTATAGGGGACACTTGAATGGAGAAAGAACTATTGCTAAAGTTCTGCAATCTAGTTTTTACACGCCCACATTGTTTAAGATGCTCTTCTTCTCTTTTTTTTAGCAGAATTGTAGCAGCTATCAAAGAATAAGAGAAATTTCTAAGAAGCATGAGATATCTTTAATAGTATCTTTGAAGTTGAGGTATTTGATTGTTAGGGAATCGATTTCATGGGACATTACCATCTTCATTTTCCAATGAATATATCCTTGTAGTAATGGATTATGTATCAAAATGGATTGAAGTGATTGCATCCTCAAAAGCTGATGCGAAAATTGTGATAAAGTTCTTAAAGAAGAATATCTTCTACAGATTTGGCACACCAAGGGTGCTCATAAGTGATGGAGGATCTCATTTTTGCAATGCTCAACTACAAAAGGTCCTAGAGCATTATAGGGTGAGACACAAAGTTGCATCACCCTATCATCCACAAACAAATGGTAAAGCTGAGGTCTCCAACAAAGAAATTAAAAGGATTCTGGAAAAAACTATCATAGCTTCTAGGAAGGATTAGGCCATAAAATTGGATGATGCAATATAGGCTTACGGGACTGCATACAAATCCCATACTAGTTTTTCTCCATTTCAATTAATCTATAGGGAAGGCTTGTCATCTCCTTATGAAATTAAAACACAAAGTATTCTAGGCCTTGAAGTTTTTAAATTTTGATCCTAAGACAGCAAGAGAAAAAAGGAAATTACAACTACAAAAATTGGAGAAAATAAAGTTCATTACATATAAATCTTTAAAGCTCTACAAGGAAAAGATGAAAAAATATCATGACAAGAAATCTTCAAAAGAGAATTCAAACTAAGACATTCATTTTGGTTGTTTAATTCTAAGTTGAAACTTTTTCCTAGAAAGTTGAAATCTAAATGGTCTAGTCCTTTCCTTGTCAAAGATGTCAAGTCTTACAAAGCAATAGAGTTAAAAGACCCAACTACTCATAGAAGTTAGGTGTCAACTAACAAAGATTGAAGTTTGGGTGGTAAAATTGAGAGAATCACCACTATCATCCATCTCCTCAATCTCTAAAGAAATAAGCATCAAGCTAAGTGAAGTTAAACAAGCGCTTCCTGGGAGGCAACCCAATGTTTAGTACATGCTACTTCTAGTTTTGCTTGATTAGTTGTTAACTTTCAGTATAGTATGTCTATATGTATAATTATGTTTATATGTTTGCATGTGGTCAAATGTAACAAGTGGAGTTGAGAAAAATTGATTGAGAGTTATTAAAGGGGCATGAAAAATTACATATTTAAGGAGAAACTGATATGGTAAGTTCTAAAATACCACTTTTCACTCAAGTGAGCCCTAACTCGCTCAAGCGATTCAAAGAAGTAAAACTAGGGTTGTCTATGTCATAGTCTCACTCAAGCTAGAATAATCTTGATCTAGCAAAAAAAGCTCGCTTAAGTAAGAACCAAGCGACAATCATCAGGAATCTTTTGTTCCTTTCTCGCTCAAACGAGAAATGTGTCGTTAAAGCGAGACAGAGCAACAATCACCAGGTGTCTCTAGTCCCGTTCTCGCTCAAACAAGATAGAGCGCGGGGACAGTATTTAGAATAAGGTTTAAAGAAATTTAAAACATAACCTTGTTCTTTTTCTTAGAACTCAAGTGTTATTCGCCCCTACTCACTTTCAAACAAATTCTCACACAATTTCTCCTTTCAACACTCAATCTTCACCACATTGAGCCAAAGGTAAGTGCTCTTTCTCTATTAGTTTTTTAAATTCATCTGCTATTTTTTCCCTTTTACTCCACCACATCATCCCAAACTGGTAAATACATGTGTATAGGGGGATAGTTGCTAATAAATACATGTTGCAGTGTACCTTCACATAAATTGCATGAATTTTGGTAAATAGCGCACTTTAGAACTATTGATAGGGTTTTTATTTTCATGTTCCTTTGTGTATATCCTCTGTTTGATGAAATGCATGACTTAAGCAATTTGAATGTGTGTTGTCATTTTACATTAATAGGGAGTTCTTTGATGTTGAACCATATCCTAGTTAATATAGTGGCTGAGAATGATAATGAGCATACTAAGAGTTTGATAAAAAAAAAAGCTTTTATGAGTGTACCTTGTCCAAATGATTAGAACTATCACGGTAAATTGGTATGCCCTTAAAATGTTGGATTAAAGCATTGTCATTGATGCATATTGCAAGACTGGAAGGATCAAAACTACCTCTAGAATCAACGAAGGGCCAAGGAAAAAGAAGCAAAAAGAAGGATACACTTCTCAAGTAGCCGATTTTTACTACAAACGCTTTCAAAGAAAAGAAAGTCAGAACCAATTTAAGATCATTCTGATTTGGAATTTTATTAAGGATAGAGCAGTGAAGTTGAGGGAAAATGAATACCCAACCTTCAATAATGAAATCACTAACTGGCATTAGAGAAGACTAGCCAGCCCATTAGAGACATTTGATTCCATCATTGTTTGGAAATTCTATGCCAATGCTTATCCACAAGTTGGTGCAAGACAATCAGACAAAAGATCTCAAGTTCGAGGAAGATGGATAAGTTACTCAAGGGATGCAATCAATGCATTCCTAGGTAACTCCTATAAGCGGGATAGAGACATATTAGATGATTATCATTGAAGAAAGAACTCACGCACTGAACCATTTGATGATTATGAAATAGCAAGGAGCTTATGCATTGAACACCAAAACTTTTAGACCAATCAAGATAGAAAACCAATGAAGATTTTAAGGAATTCAAGGAAAATGTTGGCTCAAATCTACATGATATTTGTGCTGTGAAATATAGTGCCCAAAAGTCATGTATCTAACATGACATTGCAATATTATCATCTCTTTTATTGTATCTTGGAAGAACACACCATGGATGTGGCTCAAATTATATAAGATGAAATCCACTGCTCTGTAATGAAAAAAGGAGAAGTTCAATCCTTAAGTTTCCTAGTACTCATTAATGCAATGTGTGCAAATCAAAAGGTGCAATGCCAACCAAGTTTAGGCATCAAGTCACCCATCAACAAAAACTACATTGATCACAACTATATTGAAGATCAGGCCCCTCAACCACTGGAGCAACCAATAGCACATGGCCAACCACCACAAAAGCCACATTGCAAATACATCACTAACCGAACAAATGCAGTTACTGACACTACATATGCAACATATTAAGCAACAAAACACATCCATCCATAGAGCCAACTTCAATTTCATGTAAGACTACAAATGATGTATGTCCTAATACAAATGTGTGACCTATTGTCCTTCCTCATTTCTAAATTTTTAAATAATATTGATTCTTTTCTAAACATACTTGGTTTTGACTAATGCATATACAATTAAATGTACGTGGTTTTGACTTAAACATTTTAAAATCTACTCCCATCGTGAGAATGTAATGTTTAATTGTCCATATAACAATTTATTTGTCAACGAATTACATTTTGATATACAATTCTCTACCTAATGACCTACGAAACAAAAAAATAAGTTAATTAGACTAAAATTTAAATAAATAACTATATTTATAAAAATATCAATAAAAATTAAATAAATAAGACAAATTATTTAATAAGACAATTAAAATTAAACAAATAATCATATTTGTAAAAATACCAACAAAAATTAAATAAAAAAGGAAAATTATTTAATACTACAATAAAAATTAAATAATCATATTTATAAAAATAGCAACAAAAGATAACATGACAAAATATTAAATAAACAAGATAATAAAAATCAAATAACTATAGTTGTAGAAATATGAATAAAAATTAATTAACCATATATATAAATAAAGAACTAACACAAATTAATAATACTAAAATATCAAATAAAATTATAGATAAAGAAAGGTGTGCATAACTAAATAATTTAAGTCATGACATTAAACTCAGTTTGATAAATGCAACTATTCTTATTTTTATATTATTATTTATACTATAAGTAATAATATTTTATGTTTAGAATAAAATTTAACTCAAATTTGTTCATAAATATTAAAATATATATAATTTAATAGTAAGAGTTAAAAAATATTATTACTATGTATTCAAAATATTTATTAAAAATTATCTTGTTATTTGAATTTGTTTAATACACATAAAACAACTAAAAATTAAAATAAAACACCTATACTTTTAAATTATTTTTAGTCTTAATTTCAATATATGAACATATAATTTTTTAAATAATATATTATTTAAAATATAAAAAAAATATTAACTTCTCAAACTTTAAATGTCTCACTCAAGTTTATTATATTAGTATTAAAATAATTATTATATTTGAACTCAATTTTTGCGAACTAAAGCTTATACAGAGCTCCAAAAAACGCCATGGCGTGTTTTCAACAATTAAAAAAAAAAAATTGCCTTTGACTAAATTTGCAAATAAAATATAATATCGTTGGCCTAATAACCGCCATTAGCGTGTTTTTATACGTAAAATCCGCCCCCTGCCCCTATAAGACGCAAATGGCATTTTGCTGACGTAAAAGATGTCATTTCTGTCTTAGGATCCCCAACTGAAATACTCCACTGGCAATTCATAAAAACTCCCATATTCCCATATTGTGCACTAAAATCCCTTACTTTCATAAATTCAATTATCAAATCCTATATTTTAAAATAAAGCGAAAAATGGGTATTAACTTGTTATTTTCAAAATCACGATGCTAAAAAAATTAACCTTCGAAAAAGATTTACCTATCCAGTAACAATCATTTTGAAACATATCAAGTTTGAGGCTCACTCGCCTGCATTTCAAGGCAGTTGGACTTCTAATGAAGATAGCATTTGAAAGAATGGGGTCAAAACAACAATACGCCTCTTTCTTCCACTAATCGCATCAGGTACATATTATCTATATTTCTATTGGATTAAAAAAAAATGAATCAATCACAAATCATCAGAGCGACATAAATACTATATATAATCCAGATCCATATAATGGGACTCAGTATTAGATCACAAAATTTTGCCAATACAACTGATTTCTACGAATCCATACTAACAATTACCAAAACTGAGCAAAAACTACTGGGAAAAGAAAGGGCAATAAATATTAATAGTTCAGTATCCGCAAGATGGGCCACCTTAGTCGTCATCAGCAAATGTGGTCTTTTTTCCTGAATGATTAATCACAGGATTAAATAATCAGAAAATGAAAGGCGAGTCAAGAAGTGTACACAGCTACGCTAAAAATAAAAAGTCAAAACACTCATGGAAGAAAACAATGTGAAGAAAAACAATGTATTCATGAAGAACCAGCAAAAATTTAAGGAATAGAGGTGCTCAACCAAAAAACGAGTATGTGTATACCAGTACACAAAGTATAAAGGAAAGCTAAAACTGGAAAAGGACTACTGGCAAAAGTTATTTTCTAAAAAATTAATAGGAAATTGTATTATCAAGTATTGCCATGACATAAAATAACCGAGTAATAGCAGCATTCACCAAAATAGTCCTACAGAAGCTTACCAAAAAAAGTGTGAAGTAAAAATATAATTTTTATTAAAAAAATTGCATAAAAAGCTTCACTTTGTTGATTTCAAAACAAGAGAATGGAATAGTATGATAAAAAATAATAATAACCATTGCAAGACCTTAGTTGGTAAGTAAAAAATTCAAAACATAGTAATTCTGTAGCTGAAAGTTTTAGCACTTGGTTGAAACAAAAACAATAGCACGCATAAAAGTAACGTTAATGTGGTCTCAAAACTATTTGCTGCACCTCAAAAACGGTTAACATCAGTCAGTCAACGGTGAGATATTCCAATGATTAAGATGTTAAGGAGAAAGGCAGATTTTAAGGAGAAAAGTAGGAGCATTCAAAAATTAATACACTAATGGTAAATCCTGATGAAAGATAAAAGTATACCAGTGCCTTCTGCAGCAAGGTTTGGTCTATTTGGCGTTCCTCGGCCCCTTCCACCACCTCTTCCTCGACCGCCTCCTCTTCCCCCAAACTGACCCCTGCCACCCCTTCCACCACCAAATCGCCCACCCCCACTCCTTCCACCTCCACCTCTACCACCAGAACCCTGATTATCACCTCTAGGTTTGGCTTCATCCACTGACAAGGTATAGCCTCCTAGGTCAGTTTCATGGAGTTCAAGAGCCTTGTTCATGCTACCAGAATCACTAAAGTCCAGGTAAGCAAATCTGTAAATATTAACAGACAAAAGTCAGATAAACATGTTTAAATAGAAAAAGGTGGCATGTTGGGATAAAAAGCAATCCTGAAAAGGATTTAGGCAAGGAAAATAAAGGGAGATAAATGGGTCAAAGAACAATGGTAAAAGGCAGTGGGAAGTTGAGTTTTTAAGGGCACGTTATATAACCAACAGCAGCATACAAATGGGATTTTAACAAACAATAAAGGCACATACCCCTTGGCAGCACCAGACTCAAAATCTTTCGGAACTGATATCCTTGTAATTTCCCCGCAAGAACTAAAATGTTCCTGCAAACTAGCTTTTATCTGAAAGAAGAAAGTCACATTATTTCCTGCTAAAATGAATAAAGACATGAAATATGCTACAGATGATGCACAAATTTGTGCTAGAATTGTAACCAACAATCAATAGATTTGAGATAAAACTACCTCATCTTCCCCAAGGGATTTATCAAAACCCCTTACAAATACTGTTTGGGATTGGCCTCTTCCACTCTTCTGGAAGGAGTTGTTCCAGTTGCTACAGTTATTAACAAGGAAACAAAAATTAAGTGAACAACAGGCATAGGAGTAAAATAACAAATTTTGAATACAAAAATTACCCGCTACTGGGGGTGTATGCACCCCTTTCTCGGGCTAAATCCAGCCGGACGGCACGTTGTAATAGTTCCTGTCCATTCAACTCAAGGGCCTACAATAGAATAAAAGGATTTCCCGATCATATAATTTTGACATCCATATTACATAGTCACAAACTAACAGAAACGCAAGACAAACTTAATAATGCGATAGTACCATAAGCAAAACACTAACAAAGAAAATAGGCACAAATATCAGGTATAGAATAGCTTTATGATTAATGTCCTGAATAACACAACAAAATTTCCAACCCTTGAAGCAGGAAAAATAACAAAAACTTTGTTCTAAGACCATAATAAATTCCTCCAATAAAAAATGCACAGAATAAGGAAAATATTTCAGCAAAAGATATGCAAACTAAAATGCATGAATATCCAAAAGGCAAAAAAGCCAAGTCAAAACTCACATTTTGGGCAGCATCTGCTGTTGCAAACTCAACATGTCCAAACCCTTTAAACCTCCCATCATCATCTGTAGCAAGACGGACATCGACAACTTCCCCAAAATCTTTGAAGAAATTTTCCCTAAACATTAAAATGAGATAAAATGTAGATTAAATGGCTGAAAAATGCAAGCATGAGCTTTGGGAAAAGTTACATACACATCAGCTCGTTGGACACTAAATGACAAGTTCCCAACAAACAGTGTCTTTGATCCACCACTCTGTTCTTTTGGTGTAACGGGGGTTTTTGGCTGAGAATTTTCCAGAGATAAAATAATATCACTGATTTGAACATCTTTAAAGCAGGAAAGGAAAAATATAGATTTTATCAGTAAATTACAGCTTTCTTTCCAGTTGAGGCAGCATCAACCATCTCCACATCCCTAGCCTGTTTTGCAAGAGTGAATTGTATTACTCCAGGAAATCACAACATTAAACCAAATGGAATTTCAAGCAGCTATATAAGCAAATAGAGAAAGATATACTTACCATTTTCTGAAGAGTTTTGGAGGGCTTCTCCTCACTTTCTTCCTCACTGTCCTCAGAATTATCACTACTTTCTTGCACAGGCTGCAGTTAAAAAAGGAAGGTAACAAATTGCAACTCCATAGATAAACATTAGCTTTCCAGTGTTCACATAACATAAAAACTAAAAAATTACCCCCCACAAGTGTTAATATGGTTTAAAGTTGAAAGAAACAAATCTTACTTTCCAAAAAAACATATTCCAATAAAAAATTTACAATTAAAATCAATGTAGACAAATGTCCCAATTATGTTCAACAGTTCACTTGGTAGAGTAATTATTTCATGTACCAGAAGAATCTTTACCTTTTTCTTTTGTGGCTCCTCATCAGTTTCATCAGAACTATCATCCTCATCAATGTCCATTTTTTTCCCCTGTTATTATCAAATGACATATTACATTTCAATAAACAATTCCTTCAGTTTGCAAGGTAGAAGACTTGTACAAATCACAAAAAACAAATATAATGACTAACAGCCGTTGTTATGCTATAAATTACCTCATCATCAGAAGAATCACTCTCTGATGAACTTTGATTAGACTTCTTTTTAGCAGTCTTCACAACAGGTGCCAGTTTCTTGTTTGCATTAGAAACCTTAACAGTTTTCTGCAATATTATTATGAATTCAAACTCAGAATATTGGTCACTTTGAGTATACGTTAGTTACAACGGTAATCCAATAAGATTGTCGAAACACACCTTTTTATCCTCAGATTCACTGTCAGAAGATTCCTGTAGAAGCCCAAATTCACATAAGCCATTAACAAGATTGAGTGGTGCAGAATTTTTAAATGTTTGTATGACATCCTGATTAATATTAACTTAACAAGGTAAACTAAAAATAGTATAAGAACAAAAGAACTAAAAATTTTACATCTTCATCAGAGCTGCTATCATCTGAGTCTGAGTTGTCAACATTCTTTTTAGCAACAGCCGAAGGCTTTGAGACAGCAGCTACAGCTGGCTTTGCGTCCTATATATCCAAGTATCATGCATAAAACATCACAATCACATTCCATAATTTTGTTTTGAAAAAACAAAAACAATTATTATTATTCCTTACAGCCAATATAACCCACAACAACTTACATTGTCTTCATCAGAGCTTTCACTTGATTCATCATCTGAGTTTTCATTGGTCTCAATTTTCTTACCCAGAGTAACTGAAGAAGCAGACACCTTTTTGCCCAGTGCGGTTACAGTTTTTTTCTTATTCTGATACCAAAGTTTCAGGAATTAAAAAACAAACACTCCATGAGAGAAAAAAGCAAATCATTAGGTCTAAATAAATTAGAACAGCTCCGTGCATTTTTTGCATCACTTTGATTCAAAAAATCATTTATTTTTATCATACACTCTTGGGAAGCTGAATATGCAATTCAAAGTAATCTAGACCAAACAAGTACTTTTTTTATAACTGTGACATTCAAAAACAATTGCAGCAAGCTGGTGTCTCCAGGCAAATAATGGTTCTTCAGAGCATAAGACAAAAGTCAGAAGCTGAAGCAGCAGGTGTCAAATGGCAAATAGAAACTCACATCGTCCTCATCAGAGCTACTATCAGAATCAGACTCGGAGCTATCCTCATCAGAGCTTTCAATTGGCCGAGTTTTCTTCATAGAAGCAGGTCCATTCTTAACAGCAGCAGGGACCACCTTGGATTTTGGATCCTGAAAATAATCACAATAATTAAAATAACAAGGCATTCAACATATTTCAGCCAATAATGTAACCTCCACTAATAATTAGGAAGTTTTAACTAATTCCATCCTGTTAGGAAAGGCATTTTACTCACTTCATCCTCATCAGAAGCATCTGAGGATTCAGAAGAACTTGAACTGACAGGCTTGCTTTTCTTTGCTGGGGTAGTCCCATTTTTGGCAGGTTGATTTTTGGAAGGAGCAGCAACTTTTGCTGCAGGTTTCTGACTCCCAGCAAAAAAAGTAAACCATAAGACAACAATAACAGAAAGAGAAAACCCTAACATTAAGAAAGCTATATTACAAACTCATCATAAAAAGTCAGATGTAATACCTCATCTTCAGAATCTGAAGAAGAATCATCAGAGCTACTTTCCTTCTTATTTTGTTGCACCTTAGCAACCACTCCCTTCTGCTGCTTCTTTGCACTCACTTCATCCTCATCAGAGGAGTCATCCTCAGATGATTCAGAAGAACTGGAACTGCTAGCTGGCTTGCCTTTCTTTGCAGGGGTACTAAGAGCACCATTTTTAGCAGCAGTCTTATTCAAAGGAACTGCAGGTTTCTGAAGCAAAATATAGAGGAAACATGAGAAAGGCCATAACAATGGCAGGCATAAAAGCAATCATTATACTGCCTTGAAATTTAAGCTTTTTTCTTCAATTCATGTTTCCACCATAAATAGTCATATGGAATACCTCATCTTCAGATTCTGAAGAAGAATCATCAGAGCTACTTTCCTTCTTATTCTTTTGTGCCTTTGATTCCTTCTTATGCTTATCAGCAATGACTTCTTTCTTCTTCTTCTCAGCAATTTTTGGTGTAGGTTTCTGAGCTCGAAAAAGAAAACCACGATGAGAGGAGATAACAATAGCATTCAAAATGATCATTACACTCGTGTAATTAAGTTCTTTTATAAAACGGAACCATAAAAAAAAGAGTCTTGCACAGTACCTCGTCTTCAGATTCGGATGAAGAATCATCTGAACTACTTTCTTTCTTTTTCTTTTGCACCTCTTCCTTCTTTTTTTTCTGAGCAACCTCTTCTATCTTCTGCTTTTTTGCACTCACTTGCTTCTCGAGTTCATCATCAGCTTGCCTCTTGCCTGTATCAAGATCAAAACAGACCAAGGAAAATTTCACTAACAGAAGAATGTAAAACCTAAAAATGGCCAAAAAATCAATTACACGCCCTAATTCTTCTCTTGTTCCCAAGAGAAGCTTTCAGCATGTTAATTACTCTAAAACATAGAATCATTAAAACATTAATTGCACAACTGTGCAAGATAAAACTATCATTTCTTGAGAACCCATAATAAAAAAGACTCAACTTATACAACTACAGACATTATTTCAATATAGTGAGCAAGACATAACCGCGAAGCTGCAAAATAGATGTAATATTCATACCCTTTTTGGCAGACTTCGATAGCGGAACAACAGCGGGAGCAGCGTCAACCTTCAACGAGACGAAAAGAAAAAACAATGAGCAAGGAAAGACAGCGAGAACACAAAAGAAAATGCTAAGGGAGAAAAATTGTTCAACGGAATAGAAATTCACGAAAAGATAGAAACGAGCAAGCGAAACGCGTACTTTGGGAGCTGATTTCTTGCTTGACTTGCCCATGTTAGGTACGAAGGTGGAAGAAAAGTGAGAGGAATCGGCGATGTAAAGGACGAAAGCTAAAAGCTGAGGAGGCTCTGCAAAACCCTACGTATGAGAGAATTAGGGTTTTGGGAAGAGCAGAGTGAGTTTGAGCACCAACGGCCGCTATGTTTTTATACGCGCGCCTCGCTGCGTGTTCGGTCAGGGGTTAGGGTTTTGGGTTTCGGCACAAGCAACGCGTGTTAATGATGCTGTGCGTTTTGCGTTGTCTAATTGTAGACGTAGATATTTTTTTCCCTCCTCTTACCGTCTGCAGTGAAAATCGTTGTCAATCAAAACCTTAATTTATTTAATTTAAACTTTCATTAAAGTAATTGATGAGAAAGGGGATCTATTGATTTCAAGAATAATCTTCCATATTTACTCTAATTTATAATCTTTTGTGGAGCGTAGATTAAACAAATCTGATCAGGTAATTATATGATAATAATATATATATATATATATATATATATATATATATATATTTTGATTATTATACATAACAAAATTTAAATAAATCAAATATTTATAAATATCGTATCTTAAAGTCAATATTTATTCATATTTTAAAATGTATGATATCTGTTAAAAAGTTTGACTAATAAATATTGAGTAATTCTTAAATTGAATGAAAAATTATAAATTTTATATATTGAATGTTACAATAATTCTTGTATGGTTGAGGGACACCTTTAGGTGTTCCATATATATTTGAAATTTATTTTTTAAATATGTGTATACCAAAGAAAAAAAAAACAGGAGAGAAAAATAATTATATATGATTAGCAAAAAAATAATAAGTATATATGATATTGTCTATGTTATCAAGTTTTAATTACACAAATTAAAAAATTATAATTAATAAAAAAATCCATTGAACATTTTATTGATGAAATTTAATGTTTATAGAAGTATTAAAAAATTATCAAAATTTACTCGTAAATAAATAGATTTTTACCCTAATTAATACGATCTTTTTAATCATTGACAATTTAATAGATTTTTTATTTATATTAGTTTTAAATTCTAGATTGTAAAAATGGAATTGTATGTCAATTCAAGTTTATGGTTAGATCAAATAAATATCAAAACAATTAATTTTTGTGTCAAACTAATACTTAATGAGGTGTCTAGAACAATCTATACAGTTTTTTATTTCTTTCAAACTTTTTAAAATAGTTTTAATGAAATTTGTCAAAATACGGTTTTTTTTAACTTAAGTTGTTTATTAGATAAATTGTTCAATTAAACTTTAATTTAATATGTTTTTTCCACATTAAAGTTTTATTGAAAATTTAAACATAGAATAAGATATATATATATATATATATATATATATTATAATTCATTAACTCAAATAAGTTCCTTGAAAAAAATCTAAATGTGTAATTCTTTAAATAGTTTTATAGTCAAATTTATAATATAAGTTATCATGTTTACGTATTCAACTAAGATACTCATCAAAATAAACTTTAAATATAAGATATCAGTGTTGATTTTGTTAATTGCGTTTGGAACATTGCAGTTGCAGAAGAAAATGAAAGAAAACTTTAATAATAATAATAATAATAATAAATAAATAAAACATTGTATGTTTCCTTTTGATGTGTATTATTAGTTTGTTTATCTTCTAATTCCTTCAATATCAATTACTATTTTTTTTTTGGATGAACCATGGAAATGGATCAACAACATTGATTTGGTGCATTGCCTTTGCACTTTGTCTATTGGATCATAGTTTTATTTTAAAAAAATTAAACGGGTGTGTAATTTTATTATTTTTCTTAATAATAGGTGTAATAAAAGGTTAACACTGATTTATAGTGTAAAACTCCACTTTGATTAAAGAACAATATACAAAACACTGAAAGTATTTTTATCTAACTTTTATTGATTAAAAAAAATACTCAAAATATTTTATTTAACTTTCATATGTTAATAAAAAGTTTTGTAATTTTTAACAATTTCTATAATACTCTATGAGTGTGCCAAATCAAAGCAATGAGCTAGTTACGAATGTTGATGGATTGAATACATTGTTTATATTCTATAAAATTACTATTATCGTTATCAACAGTGTTATGGAGTTGGCCATTCATTTTAACTATAGTTGTGCTTAAACTGTCAGTGAAAAATATTTTTTTCTATTATGGTCTAACTTTTTTTTTAAGAAACAACTCATTGCAATTGAAAACAGTATATGTTAAATAAGATTTTTTATTTATTTATTTACCTAAAAAGAGTACGAAAACATGTATTTCAGTGACTGTAATGAGAACTATTGAAGCTACTGGGTTCTCCAAAAAATTTACCAACTAGAAAAAGGAAGGAAAGTAACATAGGCAAACTTTAGTGGTAGAATTTTAAAAGTGAGTCTTTTTGGAGTATAATTTTTTTATCTTTTTATGTAAAAAAAAATGTAGAACTAGAAAAACAAATTACTTGGCTCATTCATACTACTGCGTGTGTTGGGTTTTAGTGGACTAATAATAATGAATAATTAAATCACGATAAACATTAATTTCTACAAATTAGTTTATTAAAATAGTAAGTATCAAATACATTAATTTTTTTTAAAATTGTTTCTTTAGTTTTTGACATGATAGTTCATCAAATAATTAGGTCCGAACATTAATTGATGCATAAAAATATTAACTTTTACTACTATGTAATATGTATAATATCTCTTTATTAACTGCAATAACACCGTCACAATGTAATAAACTAATCTAAATGATTTTTGTTACTATAGTTCTTGTCATCTTCAATGTTTCCTCCCTCCCACCTGTGATGTTTTTAGCTGCAATTGTCAATAAAGTTGCTATAACAAAAGACAACTTTTGTTGTTTGATTGCAAAGCAACCCCATTCAAAGCCCTCCTCTAGCCACTTGTGTTACCTGCGCATTGATGCCTAAGCCATTAAACAATTTGTTATTGCCACTTACATTTATTTTGCGCATTGATACTAAAGCCATCAAACCATTTGATATTACCACTGACATTCATTTTCACAACAAAGAAGCCTGTAGTAGAGGCAAAATCATCCCAACTACAACCTAATTTTTTTGGCAAATCAAAACTCTCAACAGCAAATTTTGTAGAGAAGTATCCAACAATGATAATAAGCAATAAACAATGTAACATGATTTGAACATGTAAACAATAAAGATGATGACAATAATTATGATAAAGACAATAAAGATTAATTATTAGGATTATAACAAGTCTTTATAGTCCATAAAATAATATTGTATGTATTATTTAACGTGACACATCAATAAAAGTTAATATTTTTTATGCTTTAGTTAATGGTAATGATGTAATTATCTAATGAACTGTTATACCAAAAACCATCAAGACAATTTAAAAAAATAAGAGACTAATATGTTAATACTTATTATTTCAAAGACTAATTTATGCATTTATTAAGATAATATAAGATAATTCGGTGAATTTTGTTATCTCTCTTTGTATTTACTAATTTAGTATCCCGTATAATGCATATGTGTTTTATTTTATAATAAAAATTCATATAATTTAATAATTAAAGAAAAAAATTTATATTCTTTTAAATAACTATATATAAAAAATATATTTATTTTAAATGATAACTTAAAAAAAAACTTCAACTTATTACGATAGTGTGCATTAAAATGATAAATAATTAATCAAATTAAATAAATTTAAAATATAATTTATTGTAAGCTAATAAAATTTTTAATTAAATTTTAATGATTAATTAACTTTTATTTTTATAATAAAAAATATATTATTTGAAGAATGAAGCCTTAGTTAAGCTACTATTTTTTTTTATAGTTTCTTATGTACATATCTTATTGTTAAAAGAAACTAAAAATAATATGTAAATTATATTATCTCTTGCTGAAATATTATTTTTTTTGCTTAGTTTCGTTCTAAGCTTTGAATATTAAAATTATTATTTAATTTATTTATAATTTTTATATTTTTCATGAATATTTATTTTTAGTTAATTTTAATTATAAAACATACATGAAATAATTGATAAATAAAATAATTTTACTTATTAAATAATAAGCTCTCAAAATATAAAACTTGCTTAAAAATAATATAATTATTAATTATAAAACAAACAAGTTAGTATAACACACGTTACACAGTACGTGAGAGAGTGTTGGCGTGCACGTGCCCTTCTTGGCAACTGAACTTGGTTTGGTTATACAAACAAACCTCATTTCTGCTTTCGACAATTCCAAAGTCTCCACGCAGTCTGCAGCGGCACATCCAAGAATCTCATTGCTTACTCTCGCGTCATCTCTTCCAAGTCCTCATTTTTCTCCTCACATTGGCTCTTTTACTACCCATCAGGTAAACCCCACTTTACCTTTCTTGTGTTAACGTTCTCTGCTTGTTGAATTACTGAATTTTCATGTAAAAAATGTTTGTGAGGTGTTTTGGTCAGAAATGTAGATTTTTTCAGTCTGCATGAGAATGTTTTTGATCCGAGGTGCATTTTGCTGCATTGTGTACTGGACCAGGCTTTGTTGTTGTCACGATTCAGTTACTATTTACTGAAAACTGGAGATTTCAGAAGTGATTTGACTAATAGATGGCTGAACACTCCAGAATGTGTATTTTTCTGTGTGGTTCTCGTTTTTTTTCATTATTTGTATAAGAATGTTTAGATTGCTGATTTTATGGGAGTGCTGCTGTAAAGAGATTTAGCATTCTTTAGGCAGATTTTGGAAATAAATTCAACAAGTTGGTTGGCATAATTCAGTATTGCTTTACTTATTTTGAACTCCTGACTATAGATAGATAAACCTTTTGATGTTTCATTGAAGCCGCTGATTTCCTATGATTTTGGATGTTTTGATCTTTTGTCTCAAATTTGTCGGATTTGTTTTTTCCCTCGTTAAAGCATTAAAGAATTCAGAGAAGCAACGATGGACTATTGAATCAGTTAAATTTTATGTATTTATTTTCGATGAATTCCATAATTTTAGATGAATTTAACCATCTTAAGTGATAAATTTGGTATTTCCTTGTGTTAATTTTGGTTCAAACTACTCGGTGAAAAATTGAGTTTTACAATGAATTTATTTAACTGAATAATCACTTGGCCATCCTCTATTGTCTGAACTGTAACCTTAATCGAGCTCTAGGTAATTGAAACCTTCTGTTTCTCTTCTTCTATTTCATGTAAAAGTATTGGATTTGAAAAATGAGAAACCAGTAAAGTCTTATCCACATTGTTTTTTTAGGGTATTGATGCTAGTTTCCTTATGTAGATTTTGGGTCTCTTCTGCCATACAACAACCACTGAAGATGGCGACAACATCATTTTCTGGCTTGCAAATTGCAATGTCAAGATCATGTATTCCTTCATCACAGAGGATCACAGATGCAGGCGCTCTGGTTCTTGGTGGCAAGTACAAGGTGGGATCATGCAATAAACTTGCAAGTGCATGCCATGTTGCTTCAGTGCAACCTTTCCAGCGGGGCTTTTCATCATCGTCCATAAAATCTGTCAAAAGTGTTACGAAGGCAATATCTGACTCTAGTGTAAAAAATCCAGTCTCAGGATTGCCAATTGATCTGAAAGGTTGTTCATTTTCTATGACGCTCCTTGTGAATATTACCTATTTGCATATATTTCTCAATGACATCTAACTACAGTTTGGTAGAAGTGTTATATTTGTGATGATTAAATCTTCTCATTCCCTATTTACTACTTCAATCTTTCCAAATTATACTGTGCTCAATATTTGTGTACAAGTCAGCATACTTTCAAACTTGTATCCTCTCAGCCACATGAGAGCTGGTGCTTATTTGGCTGCAAAAAGTAAAAACTATTGAAAGTTAGCCTTTGCAAATGATGCCATTTATTAATAGTACAATACACGAGTAGCTAGCTAATACTCATATTTATCTATTTCTGTTGAAAAGTTGAACAGTTCTAAGTGAGATTTCTTTCTTATTGACTGTTGAAATTTTGTTGATTGCTTTGTCATAGATTATGAGAATTGAGAACAATTACTGCCCTACTGAAAATAGTGTTCTATGTAGGTAAAAGGGCATTTATTGCTGGTGTTGCTGATGACAATGGGTATGGATGGGCCATTGCAAAATCTCTTGCTGCAGCAGGAGCTGAAATTCTTGTTGGCACATGGGTGCCTGTAAGTTATTTCTTTATTTTGGATAAAAATGGGTACTTATCAGTTGATATTCGAATTCACTAGTTTCTGTCTGTTGACTTTAGAAACAGCCTCCCCTGCAGTGCATATTATTCCAGTCCTTTGTACTGATACATTTACTAATTGTGAACAATTTCTGTAGGCTCTGAATATTTTTGAGTCCAGCTTACGACGTGGAAAATTTGATGAATCACGCGTGTAAGACATTAAATACTGCTTCTTGTTTAGTTTGTTAGACTATATGACACTGTTAATAAGAAAGACTGTTTTCCAGATTACCAGATGGTTCTTTGATGGAGATAACAAAAGTTTATCCGTTGGATGCAGTTTTTGACAATCTTGACGATGTGCCAGAAGATGTAAATAAGAGATGCCTAGTTTCCTTTTTATTACAAAGTTATGAAGTATGAGCATGTCATAATTTATATCCTCATACTGATTCTCTTTTTTTTTTTTGGGCCCTGACAATTTTATAGATAAAAACAAACAAGCGCTATGCTGGATCCACTAAATGGACAGTTCAGGTATATACACTTTTGTATGGTTAAAAATGCTCTTTTGGTTGCCTTGTTGGATCAAAATGTTGACTACTACAAAACTGTAATTTAGTACAAATTTAGGGGTGAAAATCATAATTTTATTTTTATGCTAAATATTAATTTCAGCAGCTTTTGTTTAAGGAACTAGTCTGGTGTCACACTGTCGTGTTGCTGTAGTGTATTGGACATCTGCAATTGGGGAGACCAAAGTCCCAAAAAATTGAAGAAATAATTTTCTTCGGTGTTTTCATTTAAATGATATGAATCCTTACTTAAATTTGTTCTTATATATTTTAGCTATCTTTTTTTTTCCTTGTAAATGTGAATGCATTATTTTCTTAAATATTATAAATTGCATTTTAAGGCTAAAGTTTAATGAGTTTGATATAAGTTATTAGTATTTAACTAATTTGTTTTGTACCATTTTGGACTGTATGTATGAATATCAGTTATTGCAATCCAGTGACACTTTAGTTTTTAGTTATAAGTTCGCATAAGCCATTCAACTGATGCTTTCACTGCTTAAGTTTTTAATGTCAACATAACCAAATATGTTTAAGCTGGACCCCTCCTGCCTCCCCCTTATTGGCCAAGTTTTTGCCTGACTTGAAGCTATATTACCTTTCTATTCTTGAGCAACAGAGATGATTCGTTACCAACAAATACTTTTTCATTTGGGTAGTTAAGCATAGGGTATTTTCTTTGTGGGAATTAAAGAACCCAAGCACTCTAATGAAGTATTAAGTCTAGTGGTGTTTATGGATATGAACACTGTTGCGGCAAGCTATAATGACTTCTACCTGACTGTATTAGATAATTTTGTTATATCTTCTGTTCATTGCTGTACTTTTCAGGAAGTTGCTGAATCTGTTAAGGAAGATTTTGGCAGCATAGATATCCTTGTGCACTCACTTGCCAATGGACCAGAGGTACTGTAAATGCAGTAATAACCACTGAAGTTTCTGTATGCCTTTGGTCTTTGGCTTTAATAAGCAGTTAACTCTGTTATAGGTGATCAAACCATTGTTGGAGACATCTAGGAAAGGATATCTTGCTGCATTATCTGCATCTAGTTACTCCTATGTTTCTTTACTCAAGCATTTTCTTCCAATCTTGAACCCAGGCATGTCCCTTATATAATATGGCTTCCACTATATTGCTTTCTACTTTGGCTTGTCATTTTATTTTTTACTTTTCTGATTATTTTCCACTTTCCAGGTGGATCTTCTATCTCTCTGACATACATTGCTTCAGAAAGGATCATTCCTGGGTATGTTGGTTATGTTTTAGAAAGTTCTGATAATTCAATGTTCATAATTTAGACTGACAATATTCATGATCTAATGATGGTACAGATATGGTGGTGGTATGAGTTCTGCCAAAGCTGCACTGGAAAGTGACACACGAGTAAGCTTTGACCCCCCTGCCCAATCACCATTTCACTGATCGACTATTGTGTGTTTCTTTTTTAGTTGTTTGTGTTTGTTACTTGTCCCTTGATTTTTAAAATTACATCATATTTCATGCCTTTTCAGGTGCTTGCTTTTGAAGCAGGAAGAAAGCGTAAAATTAGAGTGAATACTATATCTGCTGGTATTGGCAACTTTCTTTTTTGATCTAAATCAATCTGTTTGATCTCCTCATAGGTTTAGTGACCCCTTATTTGCAATAATTCTTAATGTGAAAGATTGTGCCAAGGAGAAATAGGTGTTTTGCTTTGTCTGTGACATTTAGCATGAATGGGCATAATCTGAAGAATTTGACTATCCCATGGATGTGCAAGGTTCTATCAAATGCTATGGATATCTTGTATCTGTTAAATGAGTGCTACAACCATCTGTTTTGTTAAATATTAGTTGCTGATTTGGACACCTGTGTTTGGACTTGGTTTGATTTTCACATTATTGTCAATGTTCTATTATCAGCTGGATCCTTGGACTGATACCATATGGTTAAATGGTATTTTATTCTGTTATATCAGTACTGTGTGTATAATTAGCATCTTATAGTTTCTTTCATTCTATTTTATAGTTGTCTCTTTCCTATTGCTTATATAATTTCATCTTTCTTGATAAAGTTAACTATTTTCCTGTGATGTTGTTTGTTTGCATATTAGTGAATTTAGTTCTTCCTGTTAACATGTTGACACTGACAATTTGCCCCTAGGTCCACTGAGAAGTCGTGCTGCAAAAGCAATTGGATTCATTGATATGATGATTGATTATTCATTAGCCAATGCACCTCTACAGAAAGAACTATCAGCAGGTAAATATTTCCATCAGAATTATTCCTTGTAACACACAGGCTTCATTTTCAATTTGTGATTATTTTCCCAACTGAGTTGAAAATTTGTGTAACAGACGAAGTGGGAAATGCAGCTGCATTCTTAGCATCACCTTTGGCATCAGCTATCACTGGAACTGTTCTATATGTTGACAATGGTCTGAATGCTATGGGTGTTGGAGTTGACAGTCCAATATTTAAAGATCTTGACATTCCCAAGGACCAGCATTAAGAGGCAACTACTACCTTAAAAACTAGTGTCTCCGGAATTCGTATAGCAATGATGTTATTTTTGTTTCACTGCTTCCATCCACTTTGAGTATTTGCTTTGCTTTTTGTAGGCTATTTTTCGTCGTTGTTTCCCTAGCGACTTTTTCAAACATTTCTTTCTGTAATGTGCTCAGAAATTCAGGTCGTATGATTATGAATGTGAGAATCTTTACATTGATCTATGCTCATTTACACCGGCAATATAAATGTAGTCCCGTGTGCCCCCTCTCCTGTGGTAAGAACATTGTGATTTGTGACATTAGAAACAGTGCCGTAGCAAATTCTATCTTGTTCTGAAATCTAAGGGCTCGTTTGTTTTGACTTTGAAAATTTTAATTCTCATACTTTCTAATAAAAAAGCACGTTTTAATAAAAAAAAAATATATGGTTCATATTAGTTTAAGGCTCAAATTGAATTTTACTAAAATCAAATTTTCTTAACTTCAAACTAACATGATTTTTCAATCACTATCACATCACTTTCACAGTTCATTTGAATTAACATAAAGTCTACCATAGATTTTTCTTGACAATTAAGTTATATGACCTGTTCATAAGATTATAGTTTTTTATTTGTGATTGTGTGTTGGATTTTCTTGTGGGGGAGATATAGGGAGGTTTTGAGACGCTGATACTACAATATTATAAGTATAGCAAGTAAGGCAAGGACTGGATTGACATGTTGATATAACAAATTTACAATCATGAAGTGACAGAAATTTAACTGTCAAATAACTCGTGTGAAAAAAGGGCTTTTCGTGAATGTGGCCTTTTCAAATGATCAATGAAAGCTTTTAATGGAGACTTTAGCCTGGGGTCCGCCTTGAACATAAACAAATATACACTCCGAGCCAGGGTTCAACACCTTGTTCCATTGGGGAAGTTCATAGGTGTTCTTTTCTTCTGTTGGAGAGAGACCCCATAAAGAGCCTGAGAGATCTTCAACCACCAACTTAAGATCTGAGATTCGCTTTGAAGAAGTGTTCTTGATTATCACCTTGTGGCGGTAATAAGTTGTGTCTCCAACAGTCCAAGAGCTACTAATTGAGTGAAGGAATTCAACTGGGGCACCTGCAACTGAACATTACCAATCTTCAGTTAGTGTTTGCATAAAAAATTTGGAAAGCAACGAGATTGAAGATCACTGTCATTAGATCTCACCTTCTGATGTTGTAGATGCTGGTATTTTCAAGTGGTTTGTACCTATCAAGCCAATAAATGTTAGACTAGAAGTGCAAAGACTGTATGAACATAGACTTGTGTTGCTTTGATCCTTAAATGGGTGAAGTTTTGTACAAGTAGACAAGTTGGTAGGATAAACTTGTTAGCAAGCTGATACTTTTAGTTAATAATTTAGATAGACAAGCACTTTTAGAAATCAAAGCAATATAAGTTTAAACTTTTAGGGACCAAATTGTATGTTAACTATGTTTAGACTCTTCCTTCCATTTTGTCCTAGTTTATACATTTTGACTATAGTACTCACTTGGTATTTTTGGCTGTGGCACTGATAATTTATCATTGTATGAACCTGTGACAAGCAATAGAAAAATGATTTGAGGATTCAGAGAGGAAGAGGAAGAGGAAGACAGTAGGGCAGATTACCATAGAATGGCGATTATTCCTCACCTTCACCTATGCTATTACCATATAAACTCTGAAGTTTAGCAAATATGCCTACAAGAGGAGCAGCACCTGAAAGTGTTGGCTCAGTTTGTTCATAATTCGATCTGTCGTCAGAGAAGTCATCATTTTGATCGGGACCACCCACGAGTCCACCATATATGACATTAGGATTTGACTCAGGGCGGTTATACCATGCCTCAAATCCTTGGATACAGCCAACCTCATACTGAAGGGCAAAGATTGAAGCAATGGAAGCACCTCTATGATGAACATGAAGAGGATATTTTGTTCCATATCCAACCAAGTAGCTCATATCCGCTGGGTTTTGACCAAGGATATAGTCAGCCTGTGTCAACAGATATTCAGTTTCAATGTGTGTTTGCTTTAGCTTATTTTAGAAAAATAATTGCTTATTTTTATCAGTGTGTTTAGTTTAGCTTATTTTAAAAAACCAGTCGCTCCTTTTTGTTATTTTCCAAATAGAACTTTTGAAGAATAAGCTATTTACAAATTTGGTGAATTGGTGTTTCCAAAAATGCTCTTAGTTTAATAATTGAATTACACAACTAAGGATCTGACAGATTCCAATGGATACCTGTGACTTGGCAAAATTGAGGAGCTCTTGAGGTTGAATCTGTCCCTCTGGACAGTTGAGCTGTGCTTTTGCCGCTGAGAGATAATTAGAGTAAACAACTGAAAGAAATGCGGCAGAAGAAACATACTGCATGTTGTTCCATTCATGCACGTATAGTAAGCCACCTGGTAAGCAGAAAACACAAGCAGAGATAAAATTAAATGATTATATTTTTCTATGAATGTTTCTTTTAGTCCAATTGACAAGGAATTTAAGTGATTTTTAAACTAATGTTCCACTTTAGCATCTAACCTGGAGTTTTCTGCACATTGTAACCATCATTCTTCTGCAAGCAGGCACAGGCAAAATAATCTGCCTTGGCTTGGTATTGCTTTAGTGTAGCAGCGTAAGAACCAGCCTTTCCTTCTAGTAATACCTGCAAATTGGGTTTTACCATTCATTGCATGATTCTTTGAACTATAATTTGTTTATATGTAATAGTTTAGGCCACGGCCTTGAAATAAACTAATTGACTTTGGTGTATGTAGACAAAAAATTGTTGTTTTATCATAAACAAAGTCATGATTAATTTATTATTACCTCTGAAATGCATTTAAATTAATTGGCTAGCAAACATGGGAAAAAAATCTTGTCATGATTACCTTTGATATGAGGGTCTGCACACCAGCATATTTGTTATCCCAAGAGAACTCTTTCACTGCCCAGCCAGTTCCACCCATATACACTGCATTGTCCACTACATACTTCAGGTAGTATTCATCACCAGTTGCTAGGTGCAGCCAGGTTGCAGCCCACAACAATTCATCCTACACAAAGCAGTGATGGTTTAGTTGTGATTGGATACCAATGGAAGTAAAGGCGGAATAGAGCAATGTTTACTCACTGAGTAACCGGAAGAAGTATAGAATTGCTGAGCACATGATATGGAGTCATCATAGAGACCTCTGGACCCATCTGCGAATGTGAAGAGCTGCAACAAATAGAAGCACATCAATAACAACTCCTTTGAGTGTAAAATATTATAATGATTTCTGTATATATACGGTTACTCAAACTTTATCAATCAGAGAATTGAATACCATGTTGTTATGTTTTGAGATTTATAGTCCTCATTTCTAAATATTTCACCATAACTTGATTACCCTTTCCATGCGTTTTTCTCAAGTGCTATTAGTGATTTTTAACAAGTCCAATTAAGTGCATACCTGTTTTGCATGAACTAGCAAGAGATTAGAGTAAGAAGAGTTGTAGGGCCTGAAAGCTATAGCTGAAGCAGCCAATGCAGCTGCAGTTTCACCTGCTAGATCTGAGCCAGGGTGTGCTTCATCAATTTTGTAGGCTTGTCTTGAAGTTGTCATATCTTCAGCACGCTCCCAGCAGTAATGATCAGAAGCTCCATCACCCACCTGAAGTTTCTCAGAGCAAAGAAATGTCTTACATTAACATAACCATCCTTAACATTGAACCAGAATAACAATACATTCAAAACAAATGATATAGATTTGAAATAAGGAAAAATAATAGCAATGTTGTGAAATGACAATAAAAAACTTAATGTGGTATTAACTAGGAAACTTGTGCATGGTACTATAGTAAATTAATAATTAATTTGGGTAGATGAAAATTGGTGACCAAACAAAAGAACTCAATCACTGTTTGTTGCGCTACCCTTACCTGTCCCCAAAGAACATTAGGCTGAGTGTGTGCTTTGATGAAGTAGTCAGTACCCCATTTAATGGCCCATAACGCGTGTCCCATTTGGTTCGACTCTGTGATTTCCTTACTGAACTCAATGGCTCCCCATGCAAGCATAGTGACACTGTAGGCCATTGGCAACCCAAACTTCACATGATCTCCTGCATCATAGTACCCACCCACCAGGTCTACCTGACATCACACAAGAACAAAAATGAAAAACACAACAACATTATGATGCTGTTAAACTCAATCAAAAACTAACTTTTCAAAAATATTATTTATTATGAAATCTCTTTTAAAACCAAAATATAACGCACACACAAAACATAAGCAACAAAAAAACCTTATCTCTTTAAACAAGGTCGAATACATGGATATAAACTTGGTTAAAAACTAAATTCTGAGAGATATTATTTGGCGTAAGAAAATCCATGAATGGCTAAAGTTATGCAGACACTGCGACTCATTGAAACATGGGGACTTACTCCTTGTAGTAAACCATCTTGGAGAGCAGAATCACCACGCCATTTGACTCGCTGTTGAAGTGGTAATTTACCAGACCTTTGTGCTTCAAAGAACATCAAGCTCTTGTCAAGGGCATCACCATAGTAAAAGCCAAAGGGTACGCTACCCCCTAAGCGTACAATAGCTACAAGAAACATGCAAAGAGAGATGTTGAGGTTCTTCATCATGGTTAATATGCAACCTCACGGAAATTAGATATAAACTAAGGTTTCCGTTATGCATGCATTGCAATCCAAATTGAAATTCTTATATATATATATATATATATATAATGATAAGAAGAAGAACTAATAAAGGGTTTGTGACTATGTGTACGTGGTAGCCATCACGTTGGGGTTGACATTCGACAAAGGAGACATTGGTAATTGGGAAGTACGAAGAGGTTCTCACGTTTTGACGTGCCTATGTGTAAACTATATATATTATATAGTATTTATACATGAGGTTGAGGGGTGTTGATACTGTGCTGCAACTGTACGAAACTGAAGACATGCTGCATCATATTATTTAATCTGAACCGTGAATCGTGAAGAATGTTTCCTTATCCTAGTCAAATATATGAGATTTGAATTATAATGTAGGTTGCGAGGTAGGTGCTTCTGTAGGCAGTAATAGGTGGCCCAAATGTTCCTTTAAACATGTTTAACTACTTGGCTTCTAACACATCTTGAGAGTTACTTCCCTTAAACATACAAGGTGAATGCCTTTTTAAGTTGTCCCTAGAAGATTTTAAAATTAGATTAGTAAGTAATCTCAATATACAAGGTGAATGTCGATGTGTGCTTTAAAATTGTCCCATAAATTTAATTTTTGATTGGTTGACATTGATTAAAAAATGCTTTAAAAAAGTAATTAGAAAAATGAAGACGACTATCTTGGGCTATTTCATTTAAGGAAAAGGAAATTTGTGTTTTTTTTTTAAATAAGTCAGACTCTATATCATTAAAATTTATTAGACCCAACAAGTCAATTTAATTTATTTATCACATGCATATATAGTATTATAATATATGTTGATAGGCTTGTTAGTCAAATTAACAATCTTTATATATTAAATTTAAGCTTAACAAGCTTAAAATAATATCTTTTTTTTTTTCAATTTACTCTCCCTTCTAAATCATTATGTAGCTTCTTTTATTAGTTTTTATTTTTTTAAATATTATTACTTAAACTCGGTCAATCTCTCAAATTACCTAATTGTTAAAATATCAAATTTTTTATATCTATAAATTTAAAGTTTATAAATTTTAATTTTGAAACAACATATCATATTAATAGTTGATTTGCATAATTTATTTTTAAATTACTCATTAATATGAAAATTATTTCTCTAATTTATTCGTTTATAATAAAATAAAATATCTACCTTGTTTGTGTATAAATTAATATAAACTGTTTTCAAATTGAGAAAACTCAAACCTATTCATAGACACGTGGGTCATGTGAAACTTATTAATTTGCCAGAAAAGTGTTTTTAATGGCAATTAAATTGATTTATTTTTATTGAATTATTTTTTTCATCATGTTTTTACCTACAAATATTTTTAAAAAAAAAAAAAGATGTACTACTATCTTGACGAAATAGTGAAAATATGGATCACATAGTGGCTGGCAGGCCTGGGCCTGGCTGCTTTTAAAGTTTTTATGGAGACAGTTATGACTGGTAACCGTTAGTCGCAGGATGACACAAGTCGCTAACTTTGACAATTTGCAAAGGAATATTATAATTTTAAACATTCTGAATATTTCTTTCCCGTGTTGTTTATTTAGATACCATATTAAACACATGCAGATTGTAACCAACACTTCATGAGCAAAAACAAACAAATTAAGAGAAACAACGAAACTTGCACTTAATTGATCAATGAAAAGGAGAGACTACATACATGTTTCAATGAATTAATGATAAGAATATTTAACACCTTATGAGAGGGAAATTAAATAAAATAATTTGTGAAATTAAAAACAACAAAGTGGCAACTGATCATATGTTTCAAGGACTTAGTTGAAAGAACTGCAAATCTTTCTTATCATTCCAGCTGAGCCAGTTAAAGGTTCAACATCTCCCATCTTCATCATAGCAGCTGCGAAATCAGACTTAAATGTTGTAGGATTTTTGCTGTATTCGGACACAATAGAATCTGTAGATCCTCCGCTAAATAGAACCTGATCTGATTGAAGAAGACCCTTCTTTTGAATCAAATTCTTGAAGTAATTGTTGTCAAATGAATTGGGTGTGACCAAGTCAAGTGCTGCCAACTTTTGATCATTAACGTTGTTACTAAGGGATGGACAACCACGTTGACGAGTGCTAGCAAATCCTGCATCTATGTCACTCGCATTGTTGTATATTCTGCCACGGAATGTGAAGCATTGAGCTTGTCCAATTGTATGGGCACCTGCATGCATTAGTCTGTTTAATTAACAATTGTCTCACACTTGAAATTTACAAACATAAATATATAATATATGTTTTCCAACTTGTGAGGCTTATGGATATATACACAATACAAGCAATACCACTTATATATTAATTAGTTAGCACTTACCAGATAGAGTAACCATGTCTCTGGCAGTGAGCCCTTTGTTGCTGAATTTAGAGATAAGAATGTCAAGATCGTCTGTGAATAGTGGAAGGTCGCTAGTAGCTGAACTTTTGCTTGCGGTGGTCGAATCTCTTCTTCCAAGCTTCACACTCCATGATGGACCACCCACCTGATGATCAAGACCAATAACATAAAAAAAAAAATTAATTTTTCGTATATGCTAAAATGTTATTAAGTTAAAACCATGAACATGAAACTTATATATACGCATAAACTATATACTTATGTAAGCGAAACTTACAGCAAAAGATGCATCGCGTGCTGCTACTGCCACAATGTCTGCACATGACACCACTCCGGGGCACACCTTCTCCACCTCAGCTTTTGCTTGATCAATGATGTTATATCCCCTGACTGAGTTTGCATTCTGAAGTGCACTCTTTTCGCTCTCTATTGAGGAGCTATCATCAAGCAAAATCGATGCATCACAGCCCTGCAATTCACATATATATATGATTAGACCCCTCAACTATTGTTCATACATGATTCTATTAATTTAACTGTAACTAAGATTAGTCAAATTAAGTACATGCATGCAAAATTAGTATATCAACAATAATATAAATGAAGCATGTATATGTATACCTGAACAAAGCAGTCATGAAAATGAAGGCGAATGAGAGATGCAGCCATGCGGCGCTCCTTAGACACCGCACTACGAATCACAGTTCTAATAGTGCTAAGTGCATTGGGGCATGTACTGTCATAGAACGTTGAAGACAATTGTGCATCACATATAGTGCCCAACAGCACCAGTGTGACAACAAAACTAGTGATACTTGAAGTTTTATATGCCATGAATATTTTGGCTGGAAGGTTAATTAATTGCAAAGAACTGAATATATTAAACTTGACACTAGAGAGAAAGCTAACAAGAAGTTAAAATGATTGAATGAATGTATGAAGATGACGGAAAAGTAGGCCAGAATGATCATCAATTTATAGGATGTGTCTATATTTGGTTTTGTGTGAGAAACTGTCATGATAGTCAAAGATGCTGAAGCTTGATATGGATTAAGAAAGCTGGCTTGGTCACTATTATCTGCTACAGCGCGTTGTAGAGATGAGTTGATGGCGCGGTTGGAGTTGACCAGGTAGCTAGCTAGCCAATATATGTATGAAGCCACTGTGGTTTAGATTAATTGAACTTTGCTTTGTGGAATTTTATTTGTTTTCTTTTTTGTGGTTTTTGCATTAATTGAAGTTGAAGAAAAAGTTTTCTGCCATTTCCGTTTCCTTCTATGTATGTGTGAATCGTGAATATGGGTTGTTGCTTTGTCATATGCTTTACATGCATTGCACTCTATTATTATCGTTTGTAAGCTTCGTTGAAAGAGACCTTGTCGGCTTGTGCTTGTCTTTATGCTTTATAATTTAACAAATTTGACCAAAACAAATTTGCAAAGTGTCACCTAAATTAACTTAGTTTTTTTTGTGCTTGTATTTGGCCAAGGTGGTGTGCCACGTGATTTTTTATTATTCCATTCTTAAGTTTGATAAATCAAATTTTCTCTGTCAAAATTTGTTTCTCCATAAATTATTTAAGAAATGATTTGAAGATATTAACTAAAATTAAATTAAAGTGATGAATGTGAAATTTACACCCTAAGCTAATCGTTCACTGTTCTCATTATGTTTGGGGGTTTGGTCTATGCTTTTGTTTACTTTGTAATTTTTGGGGACAATCTGAAGTTAAAAGTTAAGTACATATATATGATGTTTTCACTTTCATACACGTACCCTTCCGAGATAGCTGTAGAGAGAGAGCCATTAGCCAAAGCCCATAAGGGTCATATAAAGATTATCTTTTTCGTAAGAAATTAAAGTAGGAAGAAGTTCTTTTCAACGTTGGACAAACTATGAACGTCAAAAATTAGAGTTGGCATGATATTACCAACTATTTTCCAATATAAAAAACATTGAAGTTAAGATCTTTCAAATTATTCTCGTGTCATGATTAGAAAGTCTAATATTTTAATCAATTACGTTAGGAAAACTATACAAGAAGATAAAGATACAGTCAAATTAATCATTAGGGAAACAAAGTGAGTAAACACATCTAATAAGGTAGTTGTCGAAGATCCTTGAACAGTAAATCTATAAGCTCTAGGCGACAATGCAATATTATAACAAAAATATCAACTTATTCAGACTTATGATATATATATATATATATATATATACACACTCACTTATACATATATATATACAGGGGAGATAAATTAATAAAAAATATATACGATGATTAATTTAATAGGATAAAAAGGGAAAAATAAATAGAAAAATTAAATAAAAATAATGACTGTCTAAATATATTGAAATTTAAACGCCTCATTTTGCTACAGAACTTTGTGAAAACAATTTCCAGGAAAGTAAGCCTTTAAACGCCATCTTTGAATATATGCAAGTATGAGCGAGAACTTGTCATATAAAAACACTTTGTCCCAGTGCTCCTGCTAGATTATTATGATCTTGTGACTGTTCAACAAGTACATACATTTTTATTAAGATTTTTTTATATATAAAAATAAGATAATGTAAGTTTTTTTTAACAAATTTGTAAATTTCAATCTTTAGAATTGATTTTAAGTATTTATAAATATTTTTCTTACACATGTGTATAATGCAAAATAAAAGTTAATTCTTTCATATATAATATGAATTTAATTCAATATTATATTTCGATATTCCTTAACTTATTAAGTTATCAAAATATTTTTTAAATTATTTCTCTTTTCAAAATGTTTCATTTTAATATTATTTTTTGTTACTTTTACAAACATGATTTTTTAGCACTCTATACATCCATATTGTTATTATAAATTGTGCAACGCGTAATCATCGTCTTAAATTGGTGAACCCGTTTAGGGATGGCAATGGGTAGGGTATGGGTAGGGTACTACAGTACCCATCCCCATACCCGCATTTTAAAAAAATACCTGTACCCGGCCCCATACCCGCATGGGTATGAACATTAATCCCTGTATCCGTACCCTCTGGGTACCCGCATACCCGTCTTGTACCCATTACCCGCGCTTGTTTAAGAAAAAAATATTTATAAAGAAAAATATGTTTATATAACTTCACATAAGTAGCATAATAATACAAAAATTCAATATGTAATTGCTGAACAAGGTACAAATATAGATAAAAAATAAATATTCAAAGATCATAAACGTTAAATGTACCTTAATATAATAATTTTCTAAACTAAAATTCTTAGAAACAATAAGCAAAACTAAACACACAAGTTATATTTGTCAGTGATAATCCTATCTTGTGTGAGATTTAATTGTTGGTAATGTCAGAACGACAACGAAATAGATTTGTACAATGATTGTCCCTTCGTGTGGGATCACTTAGTAACCTCTTGTGACGACATTAACAACTAACTCTAATGAATAACATTTCATAGTTTTATTAAGTTTTAGCGAGACAAACATTGAGAATGAGAATAGAGTTAGAGTAGAGAAGTTCAATACTGACAACAGAAAGTTGATACATAAAATATTTTTTTTAACTTTTGAATTTGAAATTGTAAGAAAAATAATAGATTTAATTAAAATAATATAATATATATATATATATATATATATTAATACTAGTATTTTTTAACTCATATACTATACGAAAATATTTTATCAAAAATATAAATTTTTGAAAAATTATTTTAGTGAATTAAATATTTATAATGTATATAAATTTAAAAAAAAAAGAATTTGAATAAAAGATAAATAGTTACAATAAAATTTTATAATAAAGAAATATACGTGTATATTAAAAAAATTATACTTTTTTATCTTAAAAAAATTAACAAATAAAAATTAATAATAATTTTTTATATTTATATCTTTTCAAAAACTTCTTTGAATGTGAATAAATAGTAAGAATAATATTATTTAGATTCAATATATTATAGTTTTGCTTGTAATACATATGTTACATAGAAAAATATTATTTTAAATTAAAATATAAAAATAAAATTTAAATATTATTAATAAATAATAAGTTTACGGTAATAGTAGGTGATTGTAAAATTTATAAAATATTTATTATTTATCATTCACTTTATGATTTAAATATCAATATGATTTTATTAACAAAAATATTTGTGTAAAAAATATTTTATGTGTGTCATATATAAATAATATTTTAAAAAAAGTCAATCTTATATTAACTATGTAATAATTAAATTGTGTTAGCCTAATTAAATGATATAAAATAGTAAATAAATTTTTCTATTAAAAATATAAACCAAAATAAATTTTTTGGTTTACTTTATTATTAAATATATTTTTATATTAATCTTATATAACTTCACATAAGTAATATAATAATACAAAAATTCAATACATAATTGTAAAATAAAGTTCAAGCATATATATATATATATATATATATATATATATATATGCGGGTATGGGGCGGGGTGGGTACTTAGATACCCATACCCGCACCCATCCCCATTAAAATTTGCGGGTTTTTACCCACACCCATACTTGTACCCGTATAGCGGGTAAATACCCTACCCATTGTGGGTAAATTTTGCGGGTGCCCATCGGGTACTTTACCCATTGTCATCCCTAAACCCGTTCATATATTTTTTGTTGTTTCATTTTATAACATATAAATAATTTAATTTTTTAAAATATGATTATAAAAAAATTAAGTAATATAATAATATTTTATTAAAAATAAATAAAAAATTCCCAGTGGAACACTCCCATGATTTATAGTACACCCTCTAATCTTTCATGAGGAACAGAATAGAGTATTTTTTTGTCCTAAATATAAAAAATATAAAATAGATTTGAGATATATTAATTATTCAATTTCTTTATATTTTTCTTTTATTAATGTTATTAAATATACAATTCATCAACTATATAATTTAATATCACTGATATTTTAAAATAAAATTTATATTTAAAAATTATAACTTTTTTAATTTTTTTAATTTAATCTTTTATTTTTTATAAAATAGACTTAGAAAAGTAAAAAAAGTGTCCTTAATTAACACCATATGAGCTGGCATTTGCGAAGAGCAACCAAACGAGAACGGGTCACAAAACACAATGTCAAAAGGTTTCCTACATCCAAAGCTGCACCGCGTCGCAGCGTACATTAGTGACTATGACAATTTCTCACACAAAACCAAATATAGACACATCCTATAAATTGATGATCATTCTGGCCTACTTTTCCGTCATCTTCATACATTCATTCAATCATTTTAACTTCTTGTTAGCTTTCTCTCTAGTGTCAAGTTTAATATATTCAGTTCTTTGCAATTAATTAACCTTCCAGCCAAAATATTCATGGCATATAAAACTTCAAGTATCACTAGTTTTGTTGTCACACTGGTGCTGTTGGGCACTATATGTGATGCACAATTGTCTTCAACGTTCTATGACAGTACATGCCCCAATGCACTTAGCACTATTAGAACTGTGATTCGTAGTGCGGTGTCTAAGGAGCGCCGCATGGCTGCATCTCTCATTCGCCTTCATTTTCATGACTGCTTTGTTCAGGTATACATATACATGCTTCATTTATATTATTGTTGATATACTAATTTTGCATGCATGTACTTAATTTGACTAATCTTAGTTACAGTTAAATTAATAGAATCATGTATGAACAATAGTTGAGGGGTCTAATCATATATATATGTGAATTGCAGGGCTGTGATGCATCGATTTTGCTTGATGATAGCTCCTCAATAGAGAGCGAAAAGAGTGCACTTCAGAATGCAAACTCAGTCAGGGGATATAACATCATTGATCAAGCAAAAGCTG